TGAAAAGTTCGACTGAAAATTCTCAGAAAATTCCGGGACTTGAATCTTGACGTGTTAAATCAAGACCGGAGTACCGGATCAGAATTTTTAAATATTCGGTCTGAAATTCAAATTTTTTAAAAATTCTAAAAACTAATAAATAATTCAATTGGTGATTCTGGAAAATGGTAGGAATTTTCGAAGAAATTAAGTCGAAATATTTTTTGGTGGTCAGAATCTACAAAAAAAGTTTTTGACTAATTTTCGAACAGACTTCAAAAATTTCTTAAAGTCGGCATTTGTGGCACCGGATAGAATTTTCATAATATTCGGTTTGAAAGTCAAATTTTTTAAAAATTCTGAAAATTGCAATTGGCGATTCTGAAAAAATGGTAGTAATTTTCTAAAAACTAAAGCCGAAAATAAAATCTGGGGGTCGAAATCTACGTTGGAAAATTTTCAAATCGGCTTGAAAAGGCTAAAACTTTAATAAGGGAATTTGTGAAAACTTAATTTTTTGGAAAAGTTGAATGAAAATTCTCAGAAAATTCCAGGCCAACAATCATGACGTGCTGAATCGAGAAATAGAACCTGTTTATGGCACTGGATCAGAATGCTCGAGATATTCGTTTTGAAAGTCAATTTTTTTTAAACTCCGCAAAATTTTCGAAAAAATAAAGTTGAAAATAACTTTCAGGGATCTAAATCTCAAAAAAAAAAATGTTTTTGACTAATTTTCTGATCTTGACTTGAAAAAAATTTACAAGAGAATTTGCGAAAAATTAATTTTTTTGAAAAGTTCGACTGAAAATTCTCAGAAAATTCCGGGACTTGAATCTTGACGTGTTAAATCAAGACCGGAGTACCGGATCAGAATTTTTAAATATTCGGTCTGAAATTCAAATTTTTTAAAAATTCTAAAAACTAATAAATAATTCAATTGGTGATTCTGGAAAATGGTAGGAATTTTCGAAGAAATTAAGTCGAAATATTTTTTGGTGGTCAGAATCTACAAAAAAAGTTTTTGACTAATTTTCGAACAGACTTCAAAAATTTCTTAAAGTCGGCATTTGTGGCACCGGATAGAATTTTCATAATATTCGGTTTGAAAGTCAAATTTTTTAAAAATTCTGAAAATTGCAATTGGCGATTCTGAAAAAATGGTAGTAATTTTCTAAAAATTAAAGCCGAAAATAACTTCTGGGGGTCGAAATCTACGTTGGTAAATTTTCAAATCGACTTGAAAAAGGCTAAAACTTTAATAAGGGAATTTGTGAAAACTTAATTTTTTGGAAAAGTTGACTGAAAATTCGCAGAAAATTCCAGGCCAACAATCATAACGTGCTGAATCGAGAAATAGAACCTGTTTATGGCACCGGATCAGAATGAACGAAATATTCGTTTTGATAATCAAATTTTTTTAAATCCACAAAATTTTCGAAAAAATAAAGTTGAAAATAACTTTTAGGGATCTAAATTTCAAAAAAAAAAATGTTTTTGACTAATTTTCTAATCTCGACTTGAAAAAATATTATAAGAGAATTTGCGACAAATTAATTTTTTCGAAAAGTTCGACTGAAAATTCTCAGAAAATTCTGGGACATAAATATTGACGTGTTAAATCGAGATCGGAGTACCGGATCAGAATTTTTGAAATATTCGGTCTGAAACTCAAATTTTTTAAAAATTCTAAAAACTGTAATAAATAATTCAATTAGTGATTCTGGAAAATGGTAGGAATTTTCGAAGAAATTAAGTCGAAATAATTTTTGGTGATCAGAATCTACAAAAAAAGTCTTTGACTAATTTTCGAACAGACTTCAAAAATTTCTTAAAGTCGGTATTTGTGTCACCGGATAGAATTTTCATAATATTCGGTTTGAAAGTCAAATTTTTTAAAATTCTGAAAGTTGCAATTGGCGATTCTGAAAAAATGGTAGTAATTTTCTAAAAATTAAATCTGAAAATAACTTCTGGGGGTTGAAATCTACGTTGGCAAATTTTCAAATCGACTTGAAAAAGGCTAAAACTTTCATAAGGGAATTTGTGAAAACTTAATTTTTTGTAAAAGTTGACTGAAAATTCTCAGAAAATTCCAGGCCAACAATTATGACGTGCTGAATCGAGAAATAGAACCTGTTTATGGCACTGGATCAGAATGATAGAGATATTCGTTTTGAAAGTCATTTTTTTTTAAATCCGCAAAATTTTCGAAAAAATAAAGTTGAAAATAACTTTTAGGGATCTAAATCTCAAAAAAAAAAAATGTTTTTGACTAATTTTCTAATCTTGACTTGAAAAAATTTTATAAGAGAATTTGCGAAAAATTAATTGTTTGGAAAAGTTCGACTGAAAATTCTCAGAAAATTCCGGGACTTGAATCTTGACGTGTTAAATCAAGACCGGAGTACCGGATCAGAATTTTTTAAATATTCATTCTGAAACTCAAATTTTTTAAACATTCTAAAAACTGTGATAAATAATTCCATTGGTGATTCTGGAAAATGGTAGGAATTTTCGAAGAAATTAAGTCGAAATAATTTTTGGTGATCAGAATCTACAAAAAAAGTCTTTCACCAATTTTCGAACAGACTTCAAAAATTTCTCAAAGTCGGTATTTGTGGCACCGGATAGAATTTTCCTAATATTCGGTTTGAAAGTCAAATTTTTAAAAAAATTCTGAAAATTGCAATTGGCGATTCTGAAAAAATGGTAGTAATTTTCTGAAAAATTAAAGCTGAAAATAACTTCTGGGGGTCGAAATCTACGTTGGCAAATTTTCAAATCGACTTGAAAAAGCCTAAAACTTTAACAAGGGAATTTGTGAAAATTTAATTTTTTGTAAAAGTTGACTGAAAATTCTCAGAAAATTCCAGGCCAACAATCATGACGTGCTGAATCGAGAACCTGTTTATGGCACTGGAGCAGAATGATCGAGATATTCGTTTTGAAAGTAATTTTTTTTTTAAATCCGCACAATTTTCGAAAAACTAAAGTTGAAAATAACTTTTAGGGATCTAAATCTCAAAAAAAATGTTTTTGATTAATTTTCCAATCTTGAGTTGAAAAAAATTTATAAGAGAATTTGCGAAAAATTAATTTTTTGGAAAAGTTCGACTGAAAATTCTCAGAAAATTCCGGGACATGAATCTTGACGCGTTAAATCAAGACCGGAGTACCGGATCAGAATTTTCGAAATATTTGGTCTGAAACTCAAATTTTTAAAAAATTCTAAAAACTGTAATAATTCAATTGGCGATTCTGGAAAATGGTAGGAATTTTCGAAAAAATGAAGTTCAAAATAACTTTTAGGGGTCGAAATCTCCAAAAAAATGTCTGGTTAATTTTCAAACCAACTTGAAAAAAAATCAAAAATTTCGTGTTTGTGAAAAATTAAGCTTTTGGTAAGGTTGAATGAAAGTTCTCAAAAAATTCTAGGACATAGGTTTTAACAAGCTAATTTGAAAAATATATGTTTATGGCACTGAATCAGAATTTTTGAAATATTCATTTTGAAAGTCAAATTTTTTAAAAATCCTAAAAATTGCTAAATTTCAGTTGGCGATTCTGGGAAAATGGTAGGAATTTTTCAAAACATGAAGTCGAAAAATTACTTTTGGGGGTCGAACTCTACAAAAAAATGTCTTTGGCTAATTTTCAATCCGACTTGAAAACAAATCAAAAATTTCATTAAGAACTTTATGAAAATTTGATCTTTTGGAAAAGTTAAGTGAAAATTCTCGAAAAATTCCAAGACATAGATCTTGACGTATTAATTCGAGAAATATAGCGTGTTTGCGGTACCGGATCAGAATTTTTGAAATATGTATTCGGTTTGAAAATTAATTTTTTTTTTATTTGTAAGTTGCAATATTCCAATTGGCGATTCTGGAAAATGGTACCAATTTTCAAAACAGCGAAGCCGAAGATAACTTCTAGGAGTCGAAATATACAAAACAATGTGTTTGGCTAATTTTCAAAACGACTTGAGAAAGGGAGTTAATGAAAAATTGACCTATTGGAAATCTTCAATGAAAATTTTCAAAAAATTCTAGGTGATAGATTTTCACTGCTGATTCGAAAAATACAGCGTACTCATAGTTCCGGACCAAGGCTTCAGAAAAGTTCTGTTTGAAAATAAGAATTAAAAAAAAATAATAAAAATTGCAAATCTAAACTGCCGATTCTGGAAAAATGGTAGGAATTTTCGCAGAAACAGAGCCGAAAATGACTTCTACATGTCGAAATCTATAAGAAAATGTCTTCGGCTAATTTTTGAAGGTGGTCGAGAAATGGTCGAAAATGGTAATGAAAAATTGAGCTTTTGGAAAAGTTGTCCAAAAATTCTCAAACAATTCTGGAATGTAGATCTTAACGTGCTGATTGGAAAAATATACCGTATTTACAGTCCTGAAGCAAAATTCTAAAAAATTCGGTTTGAAAATACAGTTTTTAAAAAATTCTAAGAATTACAAAAGTGATCGGAAATTATGCAATTTCGAAAATTAGAGCTTTTGAAAAAGTTAAAATTAAATTTATAAAATATTTAGCTTGAAAAAAGCTCAAAAATCTCATAAGGGGGTTAGTAAAAATGTGAGGTTTTAGAAAATCCCACGACAGAATTCTACTTGTTTTAACTATTTTCAGTGTTGTTTCTAGATAAAAATAAATAATTTAAATGAATTTGCGTAAAAAGCAAACATTTTGTGTCAATACTTTGTTTCAATATTTTTATACAATAAAACATGTAACGCGCAGGCCAAAACATAAAAAAATTGCTTCGAAGTGCGACCTCTCGTGATGTTTTTAAAATCAAACATATTCAAACACCGACATTACCAGCGTCCTCTACAATCCCTCATTCAAAACACCGCCACTCACAAACAATTTCCCGAGGCTCTCCAAACACTCCGCCGCCAACAAAAAAGAGAAAAATAGAAAAAAGAGAGAAAAAGTTCGTGGCTTTATTTTCCAGCAAAGCCGGCTCTGGCGGCGACACGTCCGGAAATAGGTGCACTTACTCATTCAATCCTAGCTTTAGGGTATCTCCGGAATTCCTCAACAGAGCGTGAGCCTCAGCGTTGGAGATATCCTTTGTGGATTGGTTGTTAATCGATGTGATGAAATCTCCTTCTCGGATGCCTCGAAGCGCCGCTTTGCTGCCCGGGTTTACCTACATCAAAACACGTCAGTATAGTGAGTTGCCTATCTAGAGGAACGGAAGGCATGCAATCACCGGATTTTCGCGTAAAAAGGGTTCAAACCGAGGAAATAATTCACCGCCAATTCAGTTTCAGTTTCATTTAAACCACACTTAATCATAATTATTAAAACCAAAGCAATGAAAATTCTCCAACTGAACACCCACCGCGTACTCCCTTTGTCTCCCGTGGGGTGAACAGAACTTCAACATCACTTCCGATTTCGAGCAATCACCGTAAATATCGATCCTCGCGCACCGACGGCGAGCTTTTGTCTTCGCGTCCACAACAACAAGACGAGAAGAAAAATACAAAATACGAATACGAATACCCACACCACCCGTATAAGTTCATTAAGATTCAACGGATCCCCGTCGGCACTATCACGAGGGTGCACAAGAATGCTAATATTAACAGAGCATTAGTATGCAGTAAACCTACAAAGACAAACACAATGCACGAACTCGACGGATTATCGCGGCTGTAAAACACCCATTTTTCAGATGTGAATTCGATCCGGGGACGCCCTCTGGAGATCATGTTTCGGGCTGGATTGTGTCAAGGCGATAATTAGTGGGAACGAGACGGTTTTTTTGGGGGTGTGTGGCGGGATCGGGTTGAAGTGGGCGCGGGCGGGGCAGTGGCGGCGCGGGTGTGGGTTTACTGTTACATTTTTGAAATTTCTCTTACATTTATCTATTGATCGTAAAATAGCAAATTTAGCCTGATTTAGATTTCTTGTGTTTGCCAAGAAGCCAAGTCATTATTTATTTCTTACTTTATCTCTACCGCTCTGATGATATATACCAGATGGAACCGAAACGTGTAATTTGATGCCTTGTTTTTTATAAACTTCCATGTTTGTGCTTCCACTTAGTATTTTCAGTTGTTATCAATTAAGCATTAATTTAAAATTATTTCAAATTATACAGCTGTTCAATGTTTTCTACACATTCAAAACTCGTCCAGAACCAAATTATAAGTTTAAAATTTCATAATACAAATAATGGGAGCGCAGCGAGCCCGTTATGAAAAAAATAAACAACCTTATATGTGTCCTTGAACGTAAATTACATCAAAAAGTGAAAAAATTTAAACGTTTCGGGTAAAAACTCAACACGGAGTCTTAAACTACATGTGTAGGACAATGTTATTTTATACAATTTAAAACCCATTTACTATGTACAATTTTGAAGCCACGTCATCATATTATTGGGGAGGATGATTAGACAATTTTTGGTGAGCGTTCTACATGCTACTCGTAAATACAAAATTTGACAACAATCGGCTCAGTACTTTCGGAGATTATCTGTCTAATAAAAATCCGGGACGGCAGACAGAACAAACAGACGGACAGACAAACGGAAACGGGAGACTTTAAAAATCGAAAAATCAAAACACCCAAAAATCGAAACATTAAAAAATCAAAAAATTAAAATATCTGTAAATTGAAAATCCAGAAATTGCAAAGTTCTCAATATTCAAATCCTGAAAGATTGAGTATTGAAAACTTGAAAAATTCAGAAATCCAGGCATCAAAAAATAGTAAAATGGAAAAATTTTAAATTTAAAAAATCCCAAAATTGAGAAATAAAAGAAAAGAAAAATAAAAAATTTTAAAAATTAAATTAAAATATCGAAAAATTGAAGAATTGGGAAATCGAAACACCAAAAAAATCAGAAAAACACAAATCTAAAATTCAAAAATCAAAAAATTGAACACTCGAAAAGCCAAAAAGTCGAAAAATCGAAACATCGGAATGTTCAAAAACTGAAACATCGAGAAATCAAAATAGCAACAGTAGAGGGGTCAAAAAATCAAAAAATTAAGAAATCAAATTAGACCAAAATTGAAAAATCGAAAAGTTAATAATTGAAAAATTGAAACATTTTAAACGAAAAAAAATCGGTAAACAGAAAAATTGAAAAATCTAAAAATCGAGAAATTGAACAATCTAAAAATTAAACAATTTAAAAATCGAAGAATTGGAAAACCAAAAAATCTAAACCGAGAACTTGAAAAATCGAATAATCGAGAAATCAAAACATCAAGGAAAACAAAAAAATTAAACGGAAAATCTAGAACTTAAAAATTGAAAAATTAAAATACCTATCGAAAAATTGAAAAACCGAGAAGTCGAAACATCAAAAAATGGAAAAATTGAAGAACCGAAACATTGCAAAATTCCAGAACTGAAATATTGAAAAACTGAAAAATGGAAGGAAAATTGAAAAATCGAAAAAGTGAAAAAATTCAAAACTGAAATCTTGAAAAACTGAAAAATGGAAAGAAAATTGAAGAATCGGAAAAGTGAAAAAATTCGAAACTGAAACATTGAAAAATTCAGAAATCGAAAAATTGAAAAATCACAATTAAAGAAAGAATTGAAAAATCGAGAAATAGAGAAGTGGGAAAATCAAAAAATTAGTTAATCGAAAAATTGAGGAATCGAAAAATTTAGAAACGTCAAAAATTGAAAATTGAAAAATAAAAAAATTTCAAAATCGTAAAACTGAAACATCGGAAAATTGATCAATCGAAAAATGAAGAAATTCGAGAAACCGAAAATATGAAGAATCGAGAATTCGAAGAATCGATAAATTGAAAAATCCCAACAGTAATATGTCGAAAAATTGAGAAATCGAAATCGAGTATCGTAAAGTTAATGAATTGAAAAACTGAAAATTTTTGAAAAAAAAAATCGTATCAAAAACTAAAAATTCAAAAAATCGAGAAATTGAACAATCAAAAAATCAAAACATTGAAATCCCAGTAAGTTGATAAATAGGAAAATTTAGAAAACAAAAATTTTAAAAATCCATGAATTGAACAACAAAAAAAATCTAAGCCTGAAAACTCAGAAAATCGAATGATCGAGAAATCAAAGAAAACAAAAAATCTAAAATTTAAAAATCAAAAAATTGAACACTCGAAAAGCCAAACTGTCGAAAAATCGAAACATCGGAATGTTCAAAAACTGAAACATCGAGAAATCAAAACATCAACAGTAGAGGAGTCAAAAAATCAAAAAATTAAGAAATCAAATTAGACGAAAATTGAAAAATTGAATAGTTAATAATTGAAAAATTGAAATATTTTAAATGAAAAAAAAATCGGTAAACCGAAAAATTGAAAAATCTAAAAATCGAGAAATTGAACAATCTAAAAATTAAACAATTTAAAAATCGAGAACCTGAAAAATCGAATAATCGAGAAATCAAAACATCAAGAAAAACAAAAAAATTAACGGAAAATCTAGAACTTAAAAATTGAAAAATTAAAATACCTATCGAAAAATGAAACACCGAGAAATCGAAACATTCAAAAATGGAAAAATTGAAGAAACGAAACATTGCAAAATTCTAGTACTGAAATATTGAAAAACTGAAAAATGGAAGGAAAATTGAAAAATCGAAAAAGTGAAAAAATTCAAAACTGAAATCTTGAAAAACTGAAAATGGAAAGAAAATTGAAGAATCGGAAAAGTGAAAAAATCCAAAACTGAAACATTGAAAAATTCAGAAATTGAAAAATTGAAAAATCATAATTGAAGAAAGAATTGAAAAATCGAGAAATAGAGAAATGGGAAAATCAAAAAATCAGTTAATCGAAAAATTGAGAAATCGAAAAATTTAGAAACGTCAAAAATTGAAAACTGAAAAATAAAAAAAAAATCAAAATCGTAAAACTGAAACATCGGAAAATTGAGAAATCGAAAAATTAAGAAATTGGAGAAACCGAAAATATGAAGAATCGAGAAATCGAAGAATCGATAAATTGAAAAATCCCAACAGTAATATGTCGAAAAATTGAGAAATCGAAATCGAGTATCGTAAAGTTAATGAATTGAAAACCTGAAAAAAAAATCGTATCAAAAACTAAAAATTCAAAAAATCGAGAAATTGAACAATCAAAAAATCAAAACATTGAAATCCCAGTAAGTTGATAAATAGGAAAATTTAAAAAACAAAAATTTTAAAAATCCAAGAATTGAACAACAAAAAAAATCTAAGCCTGAAAACTCAGAAAATCGAATGATCTAGAAATCAAAGAAAACAAAAAATCTAAAATTTAAAAATCAAAAAATTGAACACTCGAAAAGCCAAACAGTCGAAAAATCGAAACATCGGAATGTTCAAAAACTGAAACATCGAGAAATCAAAACATCAACAGTAGAGGAGTCAAAAAATCAAAAAAATAAAGAAATCAAATTAGACGAAAATTGAAAAATCGAAAAGTTAATAATTGAAAAATTGAAATAATTTAAATGAAACAAAATCGGTAAACCGAGAACTTGAAAAATCGAATAATCGAGAAATTAAAACATCAAGGGAAACAAAAAAATTAACGGAAAATCTAGAACTTAAAAATTGAAAAATTGAAGAATCGAAACATTGCAAAATTCCAGAACTGAAATACTGAAAAACTGAAAAATGGAAGGAAAATTGAAAAATCGAAAAAGTGAAAAAATTCAAAACTGAAATCTTGAAAAACTGAAAAATGGAAAGAAAATTGAAGAATCGGAAAAGTGAAAAAATCCAAAACCATTGAAAAATTCAGAAATCGAAAAATTGAAAAATCACAATTGAAGAAAGAATTGAAAAATCGAGAAATAAAGAAATGGGAATATCAAAAAATTAGTTAATCGAAAAATTGAGAAATCGAAAAATGAAGAAATTGGAGAAACCGAAAATATGAAGAATCGAGAAATCGAAGAATCGATAAATTGAAAAATCCCAACAGTAGGAATATGTCGAAAAATTGAGAAATAGAAATCGAGCAAAACTGAAGTATCGTAAAGTTAATAAATTGAAAAACTGAAAATTTTTGAAAAAAAAAATCGTATCAAACACTAAACATTAAAAAAATCGAGAAATTGAACAATCAAAAAATGAAAACATTGAAATCCCCAGTAAGTTGATAAATAGGAAAATTTAAAAAACAAAAATTTTAAAAATCCAGGAATTGGAC